CTGCAGGGTGGACAGAGCAGTGAGCATGGGGGCTGGTGTTCTCTCTTGTAGATAAGAACCGCTGGGAGGAGCCTGGCCAAAGGCTCTACAGTGTGGAGGCCACATCCTATGCCCTGTTGGCTCTGCTGCTGCTCAAAGACTTTGACTCTGTACCTCCTGTTGTGCGCTGGCTCAACGAGCAGAGATACTACGGAGGTGGCTATGGCTCCACCCAGGCAAGTGGTCCCACATCCCCCAGGCAAATGCATCCTTACCTCCTCTGGCCTGGCTGGCCACCCAGATAAGATGCTGAGACCAAGAGAGGCAGTTGATTGAAATGAAGTTGAGAAATCAGGTTTTTGTTGTGTTTATGGATTCTGGACTAAATTCTGGGTGCCTCAAGCTGCATTTTGAGCCCCCTTTCCCTCCTGGTGTCCAGATCACGTTCTCAAGACCCAGGTTCAGGGGTGAGCCTCTCTCTGATGGGTTCTAAACCATGTTTCCAGTTCCACTAGGCCTCCCATCTTATCCTATTCCACTGGCGAGTTCTAGACCATGCACTGAGTTCCACGAGGCTCCTAGTGTTACCTTGTCTTACTGTGGATTCTAGATCATGTTCTCAGTTTTCTAGAGTCTTATCAAAGTCTGCTCTCTTCCAGCTGGGTTTTAGACCATGGTTTCAGCAACCTCAAGTCTAGCAAGCTCAGGCTTCAGTTTGATCCCCTTTCTCTCTGGTGGCATTCTGAGATATTTAATAAATCCTCATCCAAGGATATGCTTATTGATTTGAGAGAGAGAGGAAGGGAGAGACAGAGAAAAAACACACACACATTGATGTGAGAGAGAAACATCCATGTGTTGCTTCCCATATATGCCTTGAACAGGGATGGAACCTGCAAACTTTTGGTGCATGGGACAATGATCCAACTAACTAGGCCACCTGGCCAGGGCTCAGTGTCACTTTTTGGATTCTACACTATATGCTCAGGGGCCCCAAGCTCCAACTTTATTATTTACTCACAAATGGGCTCTAGATACATTCTCAGTGTCTCCAAACCCCTGTGTTAGACTCTCTTCTCTGGATGGGTCTAAATCACATTCTCAGTTTCTTAGACCTTCAGTCATTTTTTTTTTTTTTGGTAGCAGCTGTTGGCATAGTTTTATAGTATATATTCTTTTTATTTA